CAGTATGCACTGTGAGCCTGACACAGAAGCTGGTAGCAGTGGCAGACAACTGACTGCTATTCAATCTATAACAGTGAAAAAAGTTTTTTGTTTTTAAACGCAAGCTATTGTGACACCAGTGAGTGAGTGGTGGCACTGGGCACAGTATCCACTGTGAGCCTGACACACCCGCTTTAAGGACACTGACTGCTATTCAATCTATAACAGTGAAAAAAGTTTTTTGTTTTAAAATGCAAGCTACTGTGACACCAGTGAGTGGTGGCACTGGGCACCGTATCCACTGTTAGCGTAACACACCCGCTTTAAGGACACTGACTGCTATTCAATCTATAACAGTGAAAAAAGTTTTTTGTTTTTAAATGCAAGCTATTGTGACACCAGTGAGTGAGTGGTGGCACCGACTGGGCAAATGGGCACAGTATCCACTGTGAACCTGACACAGAAGCTGGCAGCAGTGGCAGACAACTAACTGCTATTCAATCTATAACAGTGAAAAAGTTTTTTGTTTTTAAATGCAAGCTATTGTGACACCAGATATGAGTGGTGGCACTGACTGGGCAAATGGGCACAATATCCACTGTGAGCCTGACACAGAAGCTGGCAGCAGTGGCAGACAACCAACTGCTATTCAATCTATAACAGTGAAAAAAGTTTTTTGTTTTTAAATGCAAGCTATTGTGACACTAGTGAGTGAGTGGTGGCACTGGGCACAGGATCCACTGTGAGCCTGACACACCCGCTTTGAGACAACTAACTGCTATTCAATCTATAACAGTGAAAAAAGTTTTTTGTTTTTAAATGCAAGCTATTGTGACACCAGATATGAGTGGTGGCACTGACTGGGCAAATGGGCACAGTATCCACTGTGAGCCTGACACAGAAGCTGGCAGCAGTGGTAGACAACTGACTGCTATTCAATCTATAACAGTGAAAAAAGTTTTTTGTTCTTAAATGCAAGCTATTGTGACACCAGATATGAGTGGTGGCACTGACTGGGCAAATGGGCACAGTATCCACTGTGAGCCTGACACAGAAGCTGGCAGCAGTGGCAGACAACTAACTGCAATTACATTACACAGAAAAAAAAAAAAAAGCAGACTGATGTTCTAGCCCTAAAAGGGCTTTTTGGGGTGCTGTCCTTACAGCAGAGATCAGATGAGTCCTTCAGGACTGTAGTGGACACTGTATACCCTAACCTAGCTATGCATTTCCCTATCTAATCAACAGCAGCTACACTTTCCCTCCTCTCATTAAGCATGCAGCTTGAGAATTAATCTAAAATGGATGCTGTTCAGTAGGTGGGAGGGTCTGCTAGGGAGGGTGTGCTGCTAACTGGCTGGAATGTGTCTGCTGACTGTAAGGTACAGGGTCAAAGTTTACTCAATGATGACGAATAGGGGGCGGATCGAACCGTGCATGTGCTCGCCGTCTGCGGCGGACGCGAACATGCTATGTTTGCCGGGAACTGTTCGCCGGCGAACCGTTCGGTGCATCACTATTCACGAATTAACTTTAGTGGAGCATAAATGCAACTTACGTAGGTCAGATAAAATATGCAAAACATTGCTAGTAATAAGGTCGATTAGGTCATAGTTAAGATTGAGTAACATGCTGGACAGGGCACAACTGCTATTACTTGTGTCATGACTGTTTGGTTACGTGCTAAGTATCACGCAGTTGGCCTTGTTTAAGTATTAGTTAGTTGATTACATGCGGGGTAAACAAGATTATTGTATTGACCCCTGGGGTCAAGCCAGCTGCATTTAGGGTAGGTAGATAATGCTTGCAAGAGGCATTTAAAATAAAGAGTTATACGTTCAGGCAGTTGGTGATAAAATAAAATTATGAGTGATTATGAGTAGGCAGGCTTGTCTAGACTTAGATTAGAGTCTACGCTTAATCATAGAAAAAATTATCTAGACTAGAGAGGAACAATAGTAAAAAGGAGAGTAGCAAGACTGAACAGTCGTTTCTTTCCCCCTAGGAGGCCCCCCTTTTGGATATTAGCAGACATTCTAGACTCTTTGGTTCAATTATGGTGCCAGGACAATGTTTCATGTATATGAATTGATTAAGCAAGGCAAAGGCTTAACTAATAAAGTAAATAATGAGCTGAATTACTAAATGAAATAATAAGCTATTGGGTGAAGAAAGAGTCAACAGTCTAGAGTCCCACCATGCAGCCTCGCTCAGCCTGCACCCTCCGTGAGCAGAGTACAGTCCAGTGGTAAGGGAATGTGTTAATGCTGCCACGTGTGTTTCAATTGCCAGCAGTGAGTAGACCAATTAAGTCCCGCTCTGTTCCCCAGGATGGGGGCTGACAAAATAAAATGTTATCTACAGGCTGTCGCCCGTTACCATTATTCTTATGCAGAGTAGTCCTTAGTCCGGTAAGGTGGGTATCATGCTCGGGGTCACAGATTATCATTCTCCCGTGCCTCTGCTCGTTGTAGCAGTCGTTGCTCAGCCGATGCCGGCTCTGGAGGCTCGCCGGTTGCGCTTGGAGTGTAGCTGGTCCTCTCTCGGTCTCGGACTTGTGAGTCCTGCTGACTGATTTATCAGGTAGTGATCCAGGCTGTCTGTCGGTGTGGTTTGGAGCTTGGTCGGTGTGGTGTGTAGGTTCGTCATCTTTTCTGCTGCTAGCTGTGTGTTGTAGGTAGGCTTGGATGGCGCTGGCTGTGTTTTGCGCAGGGTAGTGGCCACCATCCGGTGCAGTCCTCCCGCAAGGTGCAGTGACGTGTGCGGCGCCATTTTCTGATTTGCCGCCATTTGCGTATCCTGCTTCTGGGCTGTGAGTGTCTTGTCTGCCTTTTTAGTGGGTACTCGGCTAGAGTGTGAACCGCAGCCATTTTCTCCTCCAGCCTGGTCCAGAATACCTTGAATGTGGCCTCCAGCCATGCTAGGATGTCGATCCCCTGTGTTGCAATGGGTGGCTCAGGCTCAGTCGCCGCCATTTTGGGACCAGCAGGTCTCGGCTGGATTAGTTGCCCCCACGCCCAGGGGGGCCCTCCTGAGACTGGGATAACCCCCTCAGGACCATAGGGGGGAGGACAAGGGCCCATATTCAAGAGGTTAGCCAGTGAAGGCGACGGGAAAGCGGCCGTCTCCCCCACGCCGACCATGCTCGTGGGCCGTGGGGTTTCCTCCTGGGGTTCCTGTAGGATATATTGCATGTGTGGTATCGTCGTGTAGCCCCTGCAATCAGCTCCCATTTGGTGGCCCTTGTTGTTCTGTAGAGATCCGTTTATGGCTTTTATGCAAGATATTTGCCACTTGGAGCAGGAGCAGCTCTAACCTGCGTCCGTACTGCTCAGCGGTCTGGCCCCGCCCCCCGGGGATACTCCTTTTAAAGGTTTTTGTTTTATTCCTGTCCTATTGGCTTAGCACTTAGCAATTTTCTCAGCTAACCTAATTTTGCCTTTATGTGCGTATTCACACATTTTAGATATTTTAGTGTTTTCATGCCCCAGTTATACATCAGACCAGTTTTACTCTGATTATTCAGAAATACATCTACGTAGATGGCTATCATAGCCCTCTCTGTCAATTTCTCTCCCTAGTTTATAGACGGTCTACAATATAACACTGACCTTCTGACCCATATTAAATGTGTCCCAATATATAAAACCAGATTCAGAATCCCTATAAAGAATGTCCATTTAATTTGGAGATATAGACCTAAGTCTTTAATTTTTTTACAATATAAATCTATTAAAGGTTGCCTTATACTTTCATTTTAGCCAGATGCATTTGTCCACATGACATAATAGGTTAATCAAAAATGTTTATATAGTAATAATAATAATAATTAGTATTATTATATTGATGCCAATTATGTATTCTGGAAACATCATTACGGCAAGTGCTTTATGACTCTCTCCAGAAAACAGAAATGGCACAATACAAGCTTTAGCCTTTTGTATATATTTTTTTACTTGATATTTAATGCTAGGGTAATTTTTAGATTTAAGGCTAGAGCTAGGGTATCAAATATACAGTACCAGTAACTAGCAACTTTTGAGCAGGTTTGCAACTCCCACTAATCTTGGGCAGGCATGTATGTCAAGGGCAGTACTAAGATTTGGGCTCCAATATGTACAGTGTCAGTCACACCACTCAAATTTTGACATTATTCAATGTGAAGTATGGCATTTGAAAGCATAACCAGCCCTTTGAAACAGAGGGTAAAAACAATATATATATATATATATATATATATATATATATATATATATATATATATATATATTTATATATTCTCAAGCTATAAATTAAAATAGAAACAAAATCCTCATTCGAATGCCACTGCCCTGTTCGCAGATTGAGCAACTTAAATTGTTTGATTCGGGGAAAAAACATTTGTGCCTAGATTTAGACATGGTAATGTGTTCATAATTGCCTCTTTTCTTGACAGAGGCATAATGGAAGCCTAAATTTGTGTTATTTAAAGCAATGCATTTGAGTACACTTTCAACTTAATAGCTAGACAATTCAACACATTCTAGCATTTGTTGTACGATAGTTCATTGTTATTCACCAATAATGATTTTTCAAGGCAAGTATAACTGATGTAGAAGGTTTAACTTTCAAAATAATTCTTATGTCACAATGTATTGTCAAAGCACCAATTTTAATCTTTTTGTCATCTTTGAAAGTTGAAACAGTGCACGAGAGATCCAAAAACCACTTCAATATAACCTTTTTTTAAATGCATCGATACTTAACTCAAGAATTTTAAAGGCATCAATCACTTGACAGAAACATTCAACATATTTCCATGAAAAGTTCAAGTTGGTCCTATGCAGATCTGCGGCATTAGGAAAAGTGTAGAGGCAAAAATCCTGTCTGTGCTGATAAGATTGAGTTCGCAGAGGAACTAGAATGAACTTTTAGAAAATTTGAGTCCTTTGCTCACTTGTGACTTCCTGTCATGATGAGGAGGGTTCTCTTTCGAATATAATTAGCCTTTCTCCAGTAGGCTATAGAATACTGGATTTTTTAAAATTATTTTTCTTTTCCAATTTGTGCATGTCCTGAAGTGGCTTAAAATAAAGCATATATTACTTTGATTAGGCTAAAGAAGTATAAGACATTTACTGGAAGTATGCTTATATGGAAGAATGATGAAGATTTCAGGGAAGTGAGATTGGTTTCATCCTCCCAGTGGGACATGTCAATGCAACATGTGCTATTCTGGAGCAAAGTGCTAAATGTTAAAATACAAAAGGTAAAAGAGTTAGCCAGCAATATAGTGTACAAATAATACTTGTCTACACTGCTGGTTCCTGTTCTGTTTACTAATGCGATTTTCTCATCAGTAAAGATGAAAATTATACAGCAAATGGCATGCGTATATCATCTGTTTTATAATTATTAGATACTGTTGCACAAAGATCATCATCATCCTTTTACATCTAGTGATCTGAGAGCATACGATCGATCATATCACTGATGGCAAATGGTCATTATTAGCAATCAATTCATAATTGCTGTCAGAATTATTTAGCCACTTATTTTTCTGGCACTATTAATCTTAACAATGTCTATGGTGTGATTGCAAACATTCTCCACTATCCATCCCATTCCATATCTAATGTTTATTTGAACCTATTTGATATAGTAAAACAATTGCAGTAAATCATATATCTAAGCATTTTTTTTTCAATTAACATAAATATAAGCATAGACAGTTGCAATCAAAATTATTTAAAAATCAGGTTTATTGTTAAAATGTACAGACTATCAGGTGTTTGCAATAAACAAATAATAAAAAAAAAAAAATTTAAATAGCTAAACACAACAACTGCTTCAAGTGGTTTCCCACAACTTAAAGGAGCACTGTTGGTTCTATAATGGTTTCATCTCATTGAATTAGTTATAGTGCCTAAAGCCCTCGGGCACCATGCCTTCATTCAGTGTAAACCCATTTCTCAGCAGTTTAACACTAAATCTAGATCACTGACCACGCAAAGCTTGGCCAGGCGGTACAAATGAGGCATTTGGAGTGGGCCCATTCTGACATTAGTGAGTAATTCTATATTAAATATATTAAAATAAATAATGTGGTTAGATGGATGGAGAAATTGTCATATGTAGGCACATCTACATGGAACCCAGTAGTGCTGTATTCTCAATTTAGAATACTGCCCAGGGGCATTGCTAGTATTAAAAAATGTGTATAAACAGAATATGTACTATATATAAACACACAAGCAAAAAACATCCAGGCACCCTACCAAAGGTGTACCTCCCAAACACTTGCAAATAGAATATATGTGAAAAGATACACCCCTAGGGGGAAGTATAAGGTGGAGGGTGGTAGAATACAAAGTAGTATCCAGAGGATACAACTTGGAAATCAGGATGAAATAATAGTGAAAATCTAGGAATAAAAAAACTACATATGGTGAAGTACATAGGGCTAATAAAATAGATGGAAGTTATACGAATGTCTCCCCTCAGGGGTATGTGTAAGTGATGCATATCTTCCCAGCAAGATTGACCCACAAAAGGACAAAAAAGTGCAGATAGTGTACTAAAAAAATATAACAATTTATTTTCAAGGTTGCACTTACATCAAGGGTAAAAACAGCAGGCTTGTCTCCACCAAGCAGTGGATCAAAATGAAGAATCATCCAGTCTTGGGAGATATAGTAGTTTGCTCATAATAGCCCAAAATACAAATAAAATACAAATAAGATAAAATAAAATAGGACATAAAAACAAAATGTATACAGGTCCAAAAGTATCCAACGTGTTTCATCAATAACTTCCTCAGGGATATAAATTTGATAGAAACCTCCTGGTTTTTTTTTTTAATGCAAGTTTTTATTGATTTTCAAGTATATGGGGTACAGAAAAGAGAAGGGAGTTATAAGGATAACAATGGGGGAAAGCAGACAATATGGAATTTTACAAGGTTTCTTATCAAGATTTTCGACAGTGACATTTAGGGTTTCGCAGGCGGCTATGTCCGCAATAACAATATACCTGATATACGCATACTTGAGGTTGCATAGTATAGTTTTACACTCACGTATTATTTACCCGTTGTTGGGTGTTTGTGGGCAAAGCAGTCTGGTGCGGGAAGATAAAGGTTGGTTCTTTAAGCACGGTGTTGCGTGCTGGTACAGTCTGTCAGGCCATACTTAACGGTCTCGAGGTGGAGTTTGGGGATTTGTGGCTTGGTCGTGTAAGCATGTCCACTGTTATCATGTTGAATGGAACTGTTGTGATTCTATAATATGGGTCATCGTCATTCGTTCATAGACATGGTATTGTTGAATCTTGTCCCATAGTTGTGTTTTAGATGGACATAGGTGTGACTTCCAGTTCGCCGCTAGAAGGTTCCTGGCCGCCAGTATCGTGATGGCGCACATCTGTCTGTGTTCTCTAGCAAGATCACTGGGGAGCATAAGCATGAGGTATGTTTGCGGGCTTGGCAATAGGTTTGTCACGCCCAATTTATTCAGAAATCTCCTAACCTCTGTCCAGAGGGGTTGAATCACTGGACATGTCCACCATATGTGGAGGAATGTACCGGTGTCCTTTGAACACCTCCAGCATGTCGGTGTTACACTGGGGTATATTTTATGTAACCGACTTGGCGTCATGTACCACCTATACAGTAGCTTCCTATGTGC